AGTGTTGTAATCACCTTATTGCATTTGTTTATATATGTGTATACAAACAGTAAATCAATTATCATATTTAAAATAATTAAAAAACTCAATTTATTACTTAACTAAAAAATACTTTTAAAAAATTCATCTTAATAATATATCTGAAATTATTTAATAATTTAATTTATTATGTTCTATTAAGCTCTCTCTCTCTCTCTCTCTCTCTCATATCTATATTTACAAAAAGATTAATTATGTGTAAACATACCTTATAATAAATAAAAAGTGCAAATATAAAAAAATAGTCATGTAAAGTTATATTTATATTCATTGCATAAGAATATGTTGTACGTGTAATATTGTATTTATATTGATTGTAATGTTATAATGTTCTATAAATTATTGTAAGACTTTAATATTAAAACTTTAATTAACAAAATATTTAATTATTATATTAAAGGTTAACATAATATTTATTGATTTTCAAATGTATTGAATTTTGTTAAATTGATTACACTTTACTAAATATTACAATTACTTATAACTTTACATTTACAATTATGATCATATAATAGAGATTCATACAAAAATGTATAACGTACATAAACGTGTTTAGTATATTAAAATATTATATAACATATTTTATTACATGATAATTTAACATATTTAACCAAAATTTTATTGAGATTGTTATTTTAAAAATAGCTATTATTGTAATTTTATTATTATATGTTGTACGAGTTTGCACAAACACTTAAAATATTCATGTATTATAATTGCATTATTGTAAACAATTGTTATTTATTAAAGAATATTCTGGTGTATTAATTTAAAATACTTTATTTATTCTCAGAACCAAGGTTAATATACAAAAATTTAAAAGGAAATACATACAAAAAGCAATTACTCGAGATAATTATTTTTTGTACGTTGTTAATTTTGAGTGCAATTTACTTGCATAACAATACATAGCATATGTGTGGGCAACACATAATTGAAAAATAAAATACAAGCCTTATTCAAATGATAATTAAATTGTGCGACAAAATGTATGCAACCTATAATATATAATTGTTGCATATATGATAATTATGTTGAAATATATTTTTAGCAAATATAATAAATCTAATTTAAAAATGAGATAAACACTTTACAAATATTTTTTTAGCGACAAAATGTATGCAACCTATAATATATAATTGTTGCATATATGATAATTATGTTGAAATATATTTTTAGCAAATATAATAAATCTAATTTAAAAATGAGATAAACACTTTACAAATATTTTTTTTAATTTATATTACCTTTTTAATATTGTGAGAGAATGTGCAATTAATATCTAACATGTATTATATAACAATAATGTATAACCTTATATAATTCAATCTACTTGAGAAAAATCTTTACGACAATAGATGTAATAATATTTTCAAACAACATCAGTAAACCATGAGTTTTATTTTTTTTATCTCTAAACATATGATCATGCTGAGCTTTGTAAGCATCATTTGTTAAAAAATGTTTATAAATTAATATGACAAATCAGTAAGTTACTACAGACAATCACAATGTTTAAATATTTATTAATTATATACGGTATAAACTGTAAATATAAATTTATCAGTACTGTAATCGCCGGATTAATAACCACCATATTCAGTGGATTAATAATATCAACCATAATAAAATTTCAGCCCTCAAACACGTGCGAAATGATGCGAGACATACCATGTTTAATATGTTTTTCGTGTTGTCTCATAACATATGTGTTTATTAAACACAAGTCGACTGTAATTTTGGAGATTAGCCAAGAATTGGACGAATTCTACGCCAAATATCGGATCAAAAATTTTTCATTTGTCACAATATATTACATAATATTACACTTGTTTTTCTACATAAGTAATATCTACACTGTATATTTGTCAGGCTCAAATATATACCAGTGTGATCGTGGTGAAATTACTATGAAATTCAATCACCATGCTGCTATATCTATATTTTTTATTAGCGGCTGGAAATTATTCTCCTTGCTATATTACTATGAAATTTACATTAAATACCTCAATGTTTTGACCATGTTTGAAAGACGGATTTCATTGTTACCCCGTTACCCACCAAGGAGATGTATGTGGCAAATTTTGGACACTCTTGTTAATTTTAAACAAAATGATCAGTGTATTTACAATTACATAACTTGCATAAAATATTTTATTGTGGTAATTCATGTAGTTACCAATTGCATGGAGATCCGGTACAGTTATCTCTCGTATATAACAAGTTATTATTTTATGAGTCTATTATTTTCGGCCATGTTTTTTACATCGTTTACTTATTTTATGTTTATTTTTATTAAGATTACTCGACATGAGAATGTTATTTATAGAATTAAATCTACTTTGTTAATATGGAAACACCATATTGAAAAGCATAATAAATGTATTGTAAAACATGTAATAATGACCGAGATTCAGATTTATCAATAATTATTTTAGCTTGTAATTATACTTATTACAATATAACTTTACAATACAACTTTATATTATTATTACATTAAAACACGTTTGTTGTATAATACAGTATTGTATGTAAAACTTTATTTATAATAATAGTGTTATATAACTGTAAATATTGTTAAATACAGTAAAATATTTACACTGTTAACAATAAAACATATTAATTATATTTAAAAATATTATGATTAATTGAAAAAATAAAGCAACTAATTAATTTGCATAAATAACGTACAATTAATTAAACGATCGATAGATTGTTTATAGTTAAACACCATACGTGCATCTATGAAGGCAAACAGTTTATATTTTGCAATAAAAACAATACCCATGCCACAAATGAAGCTCTTATTAATACAAGTGATTTGTACATTTTGCATCGCTAATTGCGCGGTGCAAATTGGACTGGCACCTGACCAAATACCACCGGTCACCATCAACTTGGCACAGCCCAGTGCGCTGGAAACATCTGCAAAGTCAGCCTCAAAGCCTACGGTTTTCATGAGCGAGGGTATTTTCATATTTATAAAATATTAATATTATTATTACTTTGCTGGTAGAGTGACCAAGTCTACATATTTATGAATTTAAATCTATTTATATTGTTTATTTTAAATATTGTAAATAATTAGTGATTTTTAAAATTTTTTTATTAACATTATTACAGATGTGGCCAAACAAGTACCAAAATTGACACTGGGTGGCGTGGGTGAATCCATACCGGCCATGGCGTTTGGCACCAAGGACATTGTCTACAATAAGCAAGCCACATTGTTGCGGCGATTTAACAACGACCAAAAAGCGGCCGAGGTGATAATTGAGGCGCTTAAATCGGGCTACAGGCACATCGACTCGGCCTACTTCTACAACGTGGAGCACGCCATAAACATAGCGCTGGCCCTACTGTCCAGTAAAAACCTGATCAAACGGCACAACCTGTACATTACCACAAAGGTGTGGATGACTTTTCATCGCAGGGATCGGGTGCTCAAGGGTTTGAAAGTATCCCTGGTCGACATGGGTGTGGAGTACGTGGACATGGCCATTTTGCACTACCCGACTGGGCTCCAGGATGGTGCAGAAATCTGGCCACTCTACCCGAATGGTACGTCGATGCCCAGGTCGTTTGAGAAAAATGATTTTCTGGAGGCCTGGAAGGGTATGGAAAAGGCCAATAGGCTGGGCATCGCCAAGGCTATAGGTGTGGCCAACTTTAACACTGAGCAGCTCAAAACGCTGTTGAGCAAGGCCACAGTTAAACCGGCGATTAACCAGGTATGTAAATAATATAACTAATATTACTGCATAAAGTGCAATGCAAAATTTATATAACTATTTACAGTAGTTATACAATGCATTTTTATCTATTTTGTTTATGAATAATGTTAAAAAATGTATTTTAATAAATGCTATTATATTATTTGACCTAGGTGGAGTGCAATCCGACGTACCAGCAAAACGAGATGCTCGAGTTTTGCAACCAAAACGGCATAAAAATGGTCGCCTATTCGCCGTTGAGAGGCGGCGACTATCAGTTGGTGGACAACCCGGCGCTCGCGGCGATCGGCAAAAAATACAACAAAACCGGCGCACAGGTGGCCCTGCGCTGGAACTTTCAACGCGGTGTTGTTGTGCTGCCAAAGGCGGCCAAAAAGAAACACCAGGATGATAATATAGATATTTTTAATTTTGAATTGACCCAGGAGGATATGGATAAAATTGCCAATATTCCCCAGTTGCCCCGTGTCCTACAAGTGCCCTCACTGGTTAGTCACCCTGATTATCCCTTTTAAACAATATGTTTGATGTTTATGCAAAATAAATTACTTTCAAGTGATAATTAATTAATTAATTGTTGATTGAGTAAAAATTACTTTGTTTGTTTTAATTTTAATTTTTAAATAAATAATAAAATGTATATAAAGTATGTTATAAAATATATAATTATATACACGAGTTAGTAGTGCAGTATTTTAGGTACAGTACAAGGTAGCATGAGTATAATTGTAATTAAATTACTGTTCATTAATAATAATAATAATACTGTACCTATAAATATTATAAATAATGAGTTATTATTAATGACATCGGTTAAATTTAGATTACAACTATTTAATTTAATATAAATATTCCATTGCTAATTGATATTCATGGACATAACAATTAGCACAAACTACTCCTTAACTTATCTTGTATAATAATCAGTATAATAATGTTTACTACATTTTGTTGTATAAATAAGTGCAACATTATTAATTTATTGATAAACAATTAAATAGAAGCTAACAAAAATATATATTTTATATAAATTATATGTTGTTGTTGTATGAAATATTTAATGGTTATTGAATTATGGTTACAGATTATTAACAAGAATGATACTTATCAATTTTTTCCGTCGTACCGCAATAGAAAATTATTTGACATATTCATAGATTAACCAATAAAATGATAATTTTAGTATACTCAAATGAATAACACAATGATTATGATAATTTAATAACATACATAAACAAATTTGATACAAACCTAATAATTTCCACCATGGGTTTTGACTGGATGAGATTTTTCAGCACAATACATTTTGTGCCAGATGGGCAACAATCGGTGTGCCCGGGTAAAAATGCAACTGGCGACATCACATTGCTATACTTGCCATTTGCTCGAGTAACTAACTATTAAGTACTTTATATAGCAAAAAGTATTAATTGTTGCTTGCTAATTATAACTAGATAAATAACAAGCCAGCATTCGTGTATTTCGGTTGGGATTGGTCATTTTTCATGTACTTACAATGCGGACTATTGCTCCGGGTCAAATCGGCCATACAACACTCGGGTGATTGGAAAACGGTAAAATACATTTTAAAACAACCAAAGTGTATGTGGTAAATTATTGATCTTGTTTAGTTGAGCAAGGCGGTCACTCTGCAGAACTTTGGAATGAGACCAGACTTTTTACCATATATGGATTTTCTACCCAAAGATTACACCTATAGTTACACTATATTGACAGCAATTAGACGCTCTGATAGTAGACAGTACTTTAAGTTTGTACCGGTTTTTAATTTGCAAGTAGGTTGGCAATTATTTTAACCAAAGTCCACATGCAATGACATTGTTTATAATTAAATTGGTTTTACATAGGTTTGGGCATTAATCGCGCTATCATGTTTAATTACTGGAATAATATGGTCAATATTTCAAACAACTAAACTGGGCAAATTTCAAGCTATGATCGATGTGACTGCACCCCTGCTCGAGCAGACAATGCACACCACTCGCAAACTGACCCAGATATTAAACCGAACCAATAGACCATTATTAAACTACACCCTGCTTATAATGTTTAGCCTATGGTATTTAATGTGCGTGTTATTGACCAACACGTTTGCCGAAAAAATAATGACCGGGATGTTTGCGATGGATGTATATCCGGTGGTGGACTCGCTGGAGGAGCTAGTTCAAATAAAAAAGATTAAAATAAAATCGGATTACCACGATTTAAACGGTTTGGCACCCATTAAGCCCATTGAGAGTAAACTTTTAACCCCGCGACTCAAAAGTGATCGTAAATATTTTGATAATTTGCGCAAGGCCAAACAGCGTGATTTCGAAACTGCACTTGTTGCCGGTATACATACTGGTAAATACGTTAGGCTAGATTACGAAGGTATGACACAAAATATGCGCCACACTTATGCGGGAAAGTTTCCACAGCTGTATATATCGGATAATAAGTATCGATATAATCCTCAGGCGGTTACTATCGGTAGGAAACATGATAAATATCGACAACTACTTAGCGCGTAAGTTTTCATTACGATCATGGTATAATAAATTAAATTAATTATGAACCATAATTTAAATAACATGCATGGTTAAATTAATATTACCACTGTATAAGCAAATTACAATGTTGATATCATAATAATAAATTAATAATCTATATGAAGTTGAATTAATTTTTGATTAAACTAGCATTATACCAATATAACATTTCTTTATTATAAATGTTATGCATAGGTTCCGCATAGGGTTTGAGAACGGGCTGTATATTCACCAAAAATTGCAAACAGATATGATATTTCTGCACACTTTTGACACGACTCGTGAAAACAGACAGTTTTCCAGTGAAATGGATGACAAAACCTATACTTTTGGTGAACTACTAAAGGGTCCGTTAATATTGTTGGCCGGACTCTATCCCTGCGCTCTCATTGTATTCTTATGNTGACACGACTCGTGAAAACAGACAGTTTTCCAGTGAAATGGATGACAAAACCTATACTTTTGGTGAACTACTAAAGGGTCCGTTAATATTGTTGGCCGGACTCTATCCCTGCGCTCTCATTGTATTCTTATGGGAATTGTGCCGACAGTTTGATGATAATTACACTAAACGTGCTTGTTATAAAAATGCTAAAAGTGTTCGCAATAATAAAAATTACATTGGTAAAACAGCACGCAGAATTACCATGATGAATAGAATGGCATTGGATATAAAAACAAAACAAAACAGATATAACACAAATTATTATCAATATTATACTTATTAATACTGCTAATTATTTACTAATAATTGTGTTATATTAATTTTACACTTGCTAAGATTTTGATTTCTGAAATAATAATATTTTTAATTTATAATTATTTGTAACATTTTATATATTAAATATTTTCTTAAATACCTTAGCATAGATAAATTTTGAATTCTATATTAATATTAGAATTTGTTTAAAAAATTAGTTTGCTTCAGACCTAAGTGGTCAACTATGCTGACTATATTATGATATAAAACCTGGATTTTGTAAATATTTTGTTATATCATTTTAATTTCTAGTTCAAATATTGAAATTGCATTTAAATTTTTCTTGGTATTATAAAATTAGATTTATACACTTTACTTATTTGTTAAGAACAATTCAAGTGTTTTAATTTTACATTATACACTGCACTTGTTTTTCAATATACACTTAAGTGTGTATCTTAATACCTTAATAACTTTACTGCGCAAACATTGAATTTGAATTTAATATATTTTTGTATTATAAAGATAGATGTAACTTTATACACTTTATTTTATTAATAGAAAAAAGTATGTTATTTAATTTTACCTTATACAGTAATTGTTTTTTCAATATAAGCTTCTTTTGTGATCATAAGACTTAATTTGCTATTAATGTATAAAATAAATCACAAATTTGTTTGTTAATACTTTGTTGATTAAATATTTGATATAAAGATTGTTTGCAATAAAATATAATATAAAGTTTATATGTTATATGTTATATAATATGTAATAATATATTTTAATATATTGTACAATATTATTGTGTCGTGCAATACCAAAAGATGTCATATATTTATTTGTGTTTACACAATGTCATCTTATATAAAGTTTATATGTTATATGTTATATAATATGTAATAATATATTTTAATATATTGTACAATATTATTGTGTCGTGCAATACCAAAAGATGTCATATTTTTATCTGTGTCCACACAATGTCATCTTGTTTTTTAATTTAACATATTGGTTTGAGATTATAAACCTTTTAGATTTTTATGCTTTTTATAATGTTTTTGTGGATTATTATTGCCTGTTTAAAACATGCGTAATCATTATTCTGTAAACAATGTGGGTAATTATGTACCTTGTGGTTTGATGTCTTGACATTTAGTCAATGTTATATAAATAAAATAATATATTTGATAATTAACATCAATTTATTATTATATTGATATATTAATTTATTAATCAATATATTAATTTATTCAAATTATTATAGTTATCATAAGATTTTAGTATAGTTTATATTGTACATACATCTTGTACTTACAATCACTGACTATATTAACTATAATCCGGATTAATCACCATGGTAAGAATTAAATCATGTTTATTTAATAATAAATCTTATGATCAGACAATTTCTATTAATAATTTCTAAAACTAATTAACACTAATTAATAACTTAATAATTTCTGTAAATATAAATTTACTGACAAAACTTTATGTTGGAAATGATTTGTATTAAATTATTGAATCAACATTAAATAAAAAGTTTTTTTGTTAAAAACAATTCATTAATATACTAAAAAATATACTATTATCCATAATAAACACATGATAATATAATTTTCATAAAACTATACAATTGTATTAAATTTTAAATAATTAATGATTTAAATATATAATAAATATAATAACTATAAATAATAATAATAACAATGATAAAATATATATTTATGATTTATGGCATTAATATCCACAACAAAACTGTAGCCAACGATTATCACCGGTTTTATACTTACAGCATACGTTACAATTATAATACAGTGTTTACTTGCATTTTGGTTATCATTAAATCTATACGATTTTGGTTTCAATATATTTCAAACATTTATATTCATTTCGTCACTCATTTCGTATGCATTTGTGAAAATAAATGCACAAAAATTATTTGAAATCATCGATGAATTAAACAGTTATTACAAAAAATATAATATAAAAAATAATTGCTATTCAGTTATCATTTACGCTGTGTTTCACTCAACCATTTACTTGACATCCGTTTACATCATTTGGATTGACAATAATGTGGACAAAATATTTTCAAACAATTATTACAATCACATAAATTACCATTTTCATTCAGCAATTACCCTGTTTCATATATCTGGATGGTTAGGCGCTGTACCCCTACTATACTTTGAGATAAACATTATGTATACCTCAATACTACAGACGATGTACCAGAAAATGTGTCAATTAGATGTCCATGTTAATGTTAGATATTTACCTCAAATTATCTACACGATAAAAAATTGTAACATTGATCAACTTGTATTGTGCACATTAGTTGACCGATTATTGTATTTTATAATTATTATTGTATTTTCATTGAATATATTGTTATGGATGTTATCAAGTAAAGTTTATCACATTTATAATAATGGTATTTATGTTGTGTTGTCCCTAATATTGGGCTCATTTGTAACATTTATTTATTCTTTATATATAGTAAATATAATTCATAAAAATTCTCTAAATTTATCCAATATTTTAACTAAATTATCAAGGTGGAAAACTAAAATTAATTGTTTACAAATATAAATTAAAAAACACAAAATTTATTTTGTTTATATTCAATACAATAAATACAATGTATTACATAAGATTGTACCTGTTCATATCAATGCACTTCTTACTCCAATGTCAAATTGGCAATATGTATTATTGAAAAATATCTCGGTACTTCAAATAACAGTGTTGTGCAAATATAAAAATTGCATTTAATATTTTTATTGTGATATCAATTATAGCTTATAATAATGGTCCATTATTAATGGATGTATTCTCGCAATTTACTAAACTACAAAAATTTAAGCAATTAATTTATTATTTCTGAATCATTCATGTAATCATTTGTTCAGTTAAAGCATAGAAAACTTTCCACCAAATAAACACTTAAACAGCCAAAAGTTATTTGTGTATATATTTTACTTTAATAATTTAACTATTATTTTATTTGCAAGCTTGTTACTAGCTTTTTATTAAAATTTTAAATATGAATTCATGCATATAAGATAAATGTCACTGCAAATAAAATAAAATAAGTATAGTTACAAGTTTAAAATATAGATTTAATAACAATAACATATTAAAAATTACTTAAATATTATAAATCCAATATTTAATAACTTAACAAATTATAGTCGTATTATTTTCTTAGAAATTCACTTTTTAAGTATTAGTTTGTTTTTGTACTAAAATATTACGCCTTCGGGAAAATAATCATATTTTGATAATGAAAATTTTAAATTATATTTTTAATATGAAGCAACAATTTATTTCATATAATGTATTGGTCATAATAATTGCCAACTATTGACCATTTTTCGGCCGGCTGTTCAATGAC